TGATACTGATATTTATATAATTATATATTATATTTATATTACATTTATATTACCATTCCAGATTTTTTTCCTGCTGATCTCCACTTCCTTGGATGCTCTCCCTGTGAACACTAGGGGTCATCAACTGGCACACACACACACACAAACGGGTGACACTAGTGGAAGCCCCAAATAAAGGAGAAAAGAAAAGAAGTGATGGGAGTCTCACCAGTTCCCTAAATCTCACACAATGAGATCTTAGAAGTCTTCAGGCAGGAATGCCCCAATGTGACAGCGCTGGGGCCATTTTTTAGAAACAGGCGTTGGTGCCCATTGTCTGGAGAGATCACCGAGTCTTGCTATTAATCTGGCTCTTCCTGGCAGCCTCCCATCCAGGGGTCAACTAGACTGCTTAGCTTCTGAAACCTCCCCCGGCCTGCCTCATAAAAACATAAGCCGTGCCCTGCTGGATTGGAGCCCTGGCCCATCTAGTCCAGCACTCTATTCTCCCAGTGGCACAAGGAAGCCTGCCAGTCTCCCAGCAGATGGCCTTCAGAGGCAGTCCCACTGCCATCAAGACTAAGAGCCACTGATCCCCAGGACTTCCAGGCATCGGTCCCACCCTTGATTGAAGCCAGCCAAGCTGGTCACCAGCACCACATCTGGTGATAGCAAATTCCACAGTTTGATGACATATTGGGTAAACAAATATTTCCTTTCGTCTGTCCTGATTCTTCCATGATTCAATTTCATCGAGAAGCTGTTGGGGGGTATTTCTGGTGCTGTTTCTGGAAATAAGCAAGGGGGGTGGACTCCTAGAGATGGGGTTATTGCTGGCAACTAGCCTTTGATGCAGAACCCCACTTCCTGAATCTCAGGCAGCTTCCCTTAAAAGACCAGTTGGTAAGAGGACTATCGGTCTCCTGGTCCTGTATGGGAGGTTCCTGAAGGCATCTGCTCAGACGTTCTGGACCAGATAGATCCTCAAGGCTTTTTTTTGTTCTGATGAGGTTGATCTGCTCCTACCTGAAGCTGGGCTTCACTCTTTGGATCCAAAGGCTTCTTGTAAAGCAAGTGCAAGTACTCGGAGTTGCGAGCTTGCTCATCCTTCTCCCGGGCTTCCTCCACCCCTGCAAAGCCTTCCAACAAATTGGTCTTCAGAAGGCTGATGTCTCCATGAAGGGACTACAAAGAAGAGACAGATGAAAGAAAAAGATGGGGAGGCAGTTCATCATCAGGAGACACCCAGTTTCTAGAAAACTAGGCAGCAGAGTGACAGTAAGGTACAGCTAGGCTAGGGCAGTTCCCTAAAAGATGGTTCGGTTCAAAGGCTGAAGGCCACACCACACTTTGTGTTCACCATCAAGAACTCAAGCCATAGAGAAACCGTATTTTAGATGCCCTAGCTAAACAATGAATATTGACATAAATTCTTTTATTCTTATCTTTAAAGGTTTAAGTTATCTAAATCATCAGAGGGTTAATAAGCTCTAATCAATACTGTATAAATACCCCTGTACCTAAATTTTTAAAAAAAGACTCTATCCATGCTCTGCAGCATTGCTCTAGCTACGTTGCTGCCCAACTAAGATTCCGACAAACCAAAGATGCAAATTGGGGAGCCCCAAATGTCTGAAACTAACAATCTGCTCTTAATCCGAAGGACGGATCTGTTCTCCCAAATCTGCAGCTTTTGGTACCGGCAACATCCCGCCCGAGGGTTACCTCTGTGGTCTCTTTGATTTCCAATAGAAAGGTGTACAGGTCATTGGCTTCCACTCGCAACATCTTCTTTTCTTCCTCACTGCCCACCTGGAACGAGGCCTTGGCCGTTCGACCCTTTAGTTCTTCCATCTCTTTCTGGAAATGGGTGATCTGGGGAATCAAGCGGGTGGATTTTTCAGAATAAAAGCTCAGTCCAAGAGAATAAGAAGTGGAGGAAAAAACATACACAATAGGACTATTTCGGTGTAACAAATTAAAAATGTACTTTCCTATTCCATTGGGTAACGTTCCCTCATAGGTTAGTAAAACGAGCCCTGATTTATTTAGTTGGTCTTTCTTGAAACTTGCTGAGATGGCTAAACTGACTTTTCTAGTCAGCAATAAACGTAGATATTGTCTTTTCTCTGATCCAAGAAAAGACAGTATCTGCGTTTATTGCTGACTGGAAACCTCTTACAGACTTTTTGTGTAAAACAGGAAAAAATGATTTATGCTTTTGGTGATTAGACAAGATAGATTATAAAAAGAAGAGAGTTAAATTGCAACCAGAGTAAGAGGTAAATTTACAACTGTACTTATAACTGCTATAAAGAACACCAGAAGCTACTTCTTTGTATCTGTTTCCTTTCTTTTCTATTTTTCTTTTTCTTTTTCCCTTTCTTGCACTTTTAAGCTTTCTCTTCTATTTCTTTCTTTTTCTTTTACCTCCTCTTTTATCCCTATGATGACAGGATCCGACTCTTTCCACTGGCAGGGCTGTTTCTCCATCCCAACACCTGGAGGCTGCTGTCGACTCTGCAATGCGAAACATTAAAATGTCCATGATGTGCCGGACAAAGAATCAGAGGAATGAAGGTTTGGGTTATAGAGAGCTGAAGTCACACCAGACTTTCAGAACCTTGAAAATATATTCAAAGCCCATGCACAGATAACAGCAATACTTGTTCCATCCTCTAGGAATATGATGATATGTGGGAAACCTTGGGAGACAGCCAGGGGAATGGTTGGATAAGAGGCGGCTTAGCCTGCAGCAGGAATAGGGTGTGGCAAACATCTCAAAAGAGACCCTCCCTAGTTTCTTGGGCCGTAAAGGCGACGGGGGAGAAATGTCCTTTCAGCCTTGCAAGATTCTGTTAATGTCACCTTACAATAAAGTAGAATTAGCTCATCTAGCCATGCTTCCTGTCTGGAATACCTCACAAGGCTGAGGTAGTGTGCAATGGCATGAATTTAATCCATCTGCCGCTCTTGAAAGCAGCTGTGTCTGGCAGCTGCCCGAGGCGGTTCTGCAATTCTAGAAAAAATCACAACCAGTTGAAAGAATGGCAGACACGCTGTCTGTTGCCCTGAAGCTGTCTGGGGGAGGCAGTTAAATCTGCATGAATTTTACGTCCTTCGTGTCATGACGCCATTGTAAATCACCACGTGTGATGTTCTTTCTGGCTGAACAGGCATTCAGGACTAAGGGACAATCCTTTCCCCAGAACAATCTATTAAACCGAGGGTTCAGCTGTATTGTGTGAATCCAGACATGTTCAGTAACTAAGTTAAACATCCTGGGCAAACCTAACTCAAGGTTAGAAGCCTCCTCCCAAAACAAGAACAAGCCATTTTTCAGCTGCTAAGGATAAGAGAAACTTTTCAAATGCAGTTGCCCATTTAATTTCTACTTTTTATCAACGTTTTATGTCTTTACAGTCAATTGAATCTTATTTTGGTCTTAATTTCATGAACTGCCAGAGTCATTTTAACAATATAGATAAACAGTCACTGTAACTGGACTCCAACTTTTAGTTTTGAAACCATAATCACTCCTTGTATTATCCTTCCTTCTACTTTACATCACTACATTTTCTTTAGATACCATAATTACAACTTTTCCATAGCTTTCACATTATAACGGTTCTATATATTTCAGATCGGCAATTTTACTATTCTGTTATTCTAAACAACCATTACAAAAATTGTATCATACTTTATTAACTTTTACGCCCCAAATTCTTACATTTTAACTTACAACTTTACTTGTATGGTTATGTGATTTTACAGCTTGCTTTATTCTAATCAGTTGTAACTCTTTTGTTTTGCTGCCCCATGACCAAAATGAATGACTAAGGATGCCTCAGCTGTCAGATCAGCGGCACCATTCATACCGATGGACGTTCCCCTTTACCAGCATCGACCCTTTCTCCCTGCATAACCATCGAGCAATTTTTATTTGTGATATGGAATGGCTCAATTCACAGAAAGGCAATCTAATTCCTTCTTACCTGCGACGGGCTTGATTTTGGCCCAGCCGGAGATATCTTGGCGGCTTTCTGAAGGCCAGAGGCTGGGGGCGCACTCTGAGAAGGACGCACCGCTGGAAGCAAGAACACAAAAAGGGTGACACACTCCCACAACTTCTGCAAGTGGTTGGCTATGGCTCGGGCCCTGCGGTAAGACTGGGGATCTCTCTTATGCCGGAGATTGCAGGAAGGGGTTGATGGATAGATTTCGTTTTATTTATGTACTAGATTTGCTCATCTAGGGTGAAGGTTATCGACAAAGGAGAGTTTAGAATTTTACAAAGGTGATGTGCAGCTTCAGCCTAAAATGGTAGGCAGTCAGCCCTTCTTTCAGATACTCCATTCCAATCTTAAATCTAGCATTCTCTTAAATAAGAGGACACGAAGCCTTTTCTGTGTCCATTAAGAAAGTCGTGGGTATTTTTTTTTTCTTTTCCCCTCCTTCTTTTAATTTTTCTAAAAGGAGCATGTAACTTCACACTTCCTTAAAGGACCCTGATGTATCTTTTTCATTTGGCACTGCCCTTCCCCTGGGTGCCATCAGGCTGGCCCTCGCTCGCTCTCGAAGAGAGAGGTTATTTCAACCAGGGTTCGACAGCCAGGAATTTAAATAAAAACACCACTTTGTAGCCCATCTAGCCTCTGGGCACCTTCGGGATTTCTACCACCGTTGGCTCCAATTAGCATAGTCAGGAATTTGGGAGCTGAGTCCCAAACTGGAGACTCAGCTCCCCCAGCATTGTACTGCTACTAAGCAGAAGTCACTTGAGAACAAGGGGCAGGGGGGACACAGGAGAGGTCTCTGCCCCAAAGGCTTACATTCAAAGGCCCTGATTGCAAAGACAACCATGGGGAAAGGAGAGGCTGAACCGTACTTGCAGAAGACACGGGGGTGGAAGCCTTTACTGGGGCAGAAGATGGCGTGCCCAGGCTTAGGGGTCCTGTAGATGCAGACTTCGCGGCGGGGGGGAACGGGAAGGCCGAAGCGTTTTGGCCGCTGTTGACAGGAGGGGCAGCAGATTCGGCAGCCGCAAACCTAAAAAGGAAAAACTCAAATGAAAATCGGCAAAGTGTTCGTGGGCTGAACGGTAAGATAAAGAGGCGCGAGGAAGCAAGACTGTCATGTCTACAGGTTAGGGCCTAAGCGCCCTAGGTGGCGCCAATGTGTCCGTGGCGCCCCGTGATGTTGGCCAGGCTCCTGAACCCGTCAAAATATTTATTGAGGGTAGAGTCGTTAATAGGTTTCAGAGCAAAGGCCCAGCAACTTTATGTCCATGTAGGCTCGCGAGAGAAGAAAGGCTGCAGCTGGCTAAAAGCCCAGGCTTTTGTTTGGAAGGGTGACCTCCTGCCCAGAAAAAAAAATTAGAAAAATAAAAGTCTGCAGAGGTGGCGGGGAGCCTCCTGGGAGGCTAGGAACTAGAAGGAACCTCCCCAATTTCTTTTAAATGAGCATTTGGGGATTAGCAACACACACTCGGCGATCATTTGCAGGAACACCCCAAACTCCAGACAGGACCACGGATTCCCAAAGGCTAGGGATGCCGGTTTTAGATTCCTGCTGGCCTTTTGCAAATGGCTTGAATTGCCATGACCCGAGAGTTCAGCCTCTGCCTTGTTTTGCTTTCCTTAAGGAAAATAATCCACGATGAAGGTGATTTTCCAGAAACTAATCATGCAAAGCTGCCGTATAGGCTACCCCAGAGCGCATCGAAACGCTTTGCATTTGTGATCAAACCCATCAAATCAAAAAGTTCTTCCAGCAACTTCCAGGACTGACTTTACTCGCAGTATTTCATCAGGGACCACGAACTTTTCTACTCGATGGGCAGAAGGCATCGTTGTATGTTTTTTTTCCTTTTTAAAATGTCTTTTCCCCCCCTCTATTTCGTATTTTCTAGCATCGTTCTTCTTTGTTTTGTATATTTCACTATATTGAAAAATTCTAATAAAAATGGACCGGAAACCCCTTACAGACGTTTTGGGTGAAACAGAAAAAAATTCTAATAAAAATGGACCGGAAACCCCTTACAGACGTTTTGGGTGAAACAGAAAAAAATTCTAATAAAAATGGACCGGAAACCCCTTACAGACGTTTTGGGTGAAACAGAAAAAAAAAAAAAAAAAAGAACTTATGATTTATGATTTTGAGGATTAGGAAAAAGAGATCGCAGAAAAAATAGCTTTTCTTTTTGTAACCTCAGAGGAAGAGGCAAATTTGTCACTGTACTTATATTTGCTGCAAAGAAAACCGGAAGCGACTTCTATTTTTTTCCCCTCTTTTCTTTCTGCCCTTTTGTCTTTTCCTCTTCTCTCTTTGCTTTGCTTTATATTAGTTCTTGTTAGTCTTTACCTTCTCTTCAAAACTCTCAATAAAACTTACATGAAAAAAAAGAAAAATTCATCTATCTATCTATCTATCTATCTATGTATCAATCAATCAATCAATCAATCAAAAAAGAGAGAGAGAGAACGTACTTTTCGCTGAGGTTGATCTTGACGGAGGATGCCGCTGGAGCAAAACTGGGCTTGGTCCCCACGGGAGCTGTGGGTCCAGTGGACCCGTCGACACGGCTCTTAAAGCTCACGGATCCGAAGGAGAAAGGTGGGGTGGAAGATGGGATGAGCCCCGACGAGGGGACGGGAGTTTGTGAGGCTTTGGGGGTGGCGGGGGAAGAGAACTCAGTGGTTCTGCTTGTACTTGACCCAGGAGCTGGTGCTGAGGCCTCCGATGAGAGAGGATAAGGCAGAGAAGGATCAGAAGCTGGTGCAGGGACTTTCACGGTGGGGGCTGTAAAAGAGAAAGGGGTGGTCCCACAGCTTGGGACTAAGGATGCTGTTGGAGGCAGAGGACCTGGTGGAACGTCGCTCTTGGAAGCAGCAGCAGGAGGAGTGGTGCCTGGAAGGGAGAGATTAAAGCAGTGGCTCTCAACCTTGGCCACTTTAAGATGCCTGGACTTCAATTCCCACAATTCTCCAGCCAGCATGGCTGGCTGGGGAATTGTGGGAGTTGAAGTCCAGGCATCTTAAAGCGGCCAAGGTTGAGAAACACTGGATTAAACATTAGCACTAACAAGAAGAAGAATCTAGAGGCTGCTTGGGGTCAACGGATTTGGGGTGGGGCAAGGGTTGGGTTGAGGGTTGCACCTTCCTTTTTAATAGAGTAAGCAAACTCTCTTACAGAACGTCCACAGACACTTGAGCCAGTTGCAGGAGACTCTCTTGGAAAGCCACAACTTCTCCTCAACCCCCACACCTTGAGTGACCTCTGAAGTCCAGTCCCAAGCTCACCAACCCAAGGAAGTCTCGTGGTGAGGCCTCCGGGCCTACCTGCGGTCTTTGCTCCTCTGTCCCCTTCTGCAGAGAGAGACTCGGGAGTCACCAGAAGAGATTGGACACCAGGGTTTTGGTTGACCATGTAAAAGGGGCACAATACCCCATCAGTGGATAGCAACAGCAGCACTGGCGCAGGATCCAAGGTCTTATCTTCACCTGCGACAATCATACAGAAACAGGGGGTTCATGCAATGCACCACACCATGGTTAAACCACTATTGGCTTGATTCACAACAAGCCACAACAGCTGAGTTCATTACGCCCACCCAAACGAAAGCAAGGAAAATTAACCTATTGAATTAAGTTAATTAAGCATGAGATACAAGTCAACTATGGAAGATACTAGAGAAATAAAGGGGTATAAGAGAAAGATGGACGTACTCATCAAATTGCCGATTCGGAGCCTTAACTAGCCTTGGGTAACCTCAAATGTTGATGGACTTCAATTCCTACCATCCCTGGTGCTGGTAGTTGTTGAAATCCGAGCTAATCTGGAAATCATTCCTGCTCTAAAGGTTCTTCTACCCAAAGACTGAAACTGATGAAGTTCTGAGATACTCTGTGTTGGCTGTGTTTGTGCGATATCCTTAACCAGATCAACGAAAGACCCAGCAGCTGCATTTCTATTATAGCGTTCCATCTTTCCTGACTGCACCAACTCAGCCCATTCATTTATTTTATGTTTGAATAAATTGCGCAGACCCAGAAATTGAGTTGCAGGTTGAGTCTCTCACTAAAAAGCCCTTGAACCTTCTCATTTTTTTTCTTAGGCTACGGTTGGAAAAGTTTTTACATCAGGACATTCCAACATCTGATAAACCAGGGAGCCTTTCTAAACTAAGTGACAATCTTTTCACTACTTTTGGAAAAAGAAATCTAGAAATATGTATTTGAATAACAATGTACGTGTGTGACTCTTAATTTTTATTTATTATAGAAGTTGATGCTAGTTTTCTACTGGAAAGAGAGCTTATGATTCAAGGAAAGGAATTTTGCTGTGGGTCCTGAAGATCTGAGGGATGTATTGTTTAATTAGGAGACAGTGGCATTCTCTCTTTAAAAAACCTCCAGCTTGCTGGAATTTTTTCCTAGGTTAAATTATCGTTTTTATTTCCTTTGTTGTATTTTGGTCACCGTTTTGTCATAGCACTTTTTAATGTTTTTTTACCTTCTTGATAGCGTGTGATTTTTTGTGTTTTGTTTTCCTTTTGGGCTATTGATTACAAAGCAACAAAAATTATTTTAAAAATTAAGTGTTGTAACGAAGTAATAAAATCCTAATGCCATTGTGCTGGGATTACCCTTTAAAAGCGTTCATGCTGACTTACACAATCCTCACACTTACTGATAGTTATGGGGGTGTTGCTGCTATAGTCAATGGCAACACCAACGGGCAAGGAGTCGTCACTTTTATCCGTCACAGGAAGTTCTGCGCGGGTGGAGTCTTCCAGGACCCACAGCTCCCAGTTGGTCTGCAATGGAAGTTAATCCCGTTTTCAAAATATGTCCCCAAGCCTGTTTCAAAGCTCTTAAAGCACGCAAACACAAGACTACAGAATGAGGTCTACAAAGGATAAATATTATGCCCAGCTGAGTTACAGTATACAGTGGTACCTCGGGTCACGAACGCTTCTGTTCACGACCAATTCGGGTCACGAACAGCTCCGTTCGCAAATTTTGGCCCCCGTACGCGCACGCCGGATCGGGTGACGAACGGGATCCGTGGCCGTTTTCCCTCCCGTGACACGGGGTCGTGGCTGCCTGTAGGGAGGGGGACTCTCCTTCCAAGAAATAACCGCCTCCCCACCCACCTTCCTGTCCTCCACGCCAGAAGTCATGTCGAGCAAGGTTAGCGTCCTCTCTCTTAGTGCTGTACTTTGTGTCATATTTTTGCGGTTTAAAAAAAAAAAACCATATGGTTCAGAACG